CAAACTTTATGGGGCGACTGACTGCTTTCGCAGACGTGACGCGACAAGTGTGAAAGTAAGTGGGGGTAGTACAGTGGTCTGAAGGTCAAATCAAATGCCTTCATGGGACACTTCCCTGATAATAAACTTGATGTATAGGGACACTTGCCTACGCCTTCTATGTATTCCTTATGGGCATGGCGACTGCTATACCAGACGCGGCATTTTCAGTGGTCTAGTAATCGTCTGCTATCGCAGTCCTGTCCCTACACATGTGTCTGCAATTGCAGACACGTCCGTCAATGTGTTAAGTCTTGTTTCAATTCAGCGGCGACTTATAAAACCTAACTTGATAAATTGTACAGTTTGGTCCAAGAGGAATCTCAATTCATAAGATGTAGCTATTAAGAACTGATTAATTGTGAAATTTATGGTTCTTGCATTTATTTACCTAGACTGTGATCTTTTTAGGGTAGTTTTTACTGTCTTAGATAAAAAAAAAACTTCTGTTAACAATCCCAATTTACTGTAGGATATTGAAGTAATAATGACTACGTTCTGATTACGTCCGCTGAGCCCTGTTCGTCTAATAAATTTAACCTCCACTCAAAATAATTGCACATGACATCATATAGTTTACAGTCAGAACATGGTGGTGATTTTGCAAAAGAGGGGCGGCTAGAACCATTAGAGGAGCTAGGAGAAACTGGCCCGACCTGCGGTTGAGGTACGTACCTAACTATGTGCTGTGAACTCAAGAAGAATTAGTTAGACTATTTTCATTCATGTATACGTTATCAATATTATTGTCATATAAATAAATGTTACCTTTCTTCAGTTCACTCAAAAATATTGCCTTTCTTATTTTCTTTATTAGTGTGGCCTCGGTCCATGCAATTTTAATTCGATTTCTATAATCTTTCACCACGTCAATCGTCTCTCTCTCCCTCCATAGTTCTTCTTTTGTTATTCTGGAGCCTTTTTTAGGTTTTTTATTGCCTTTCCATCAGTGGTATCTATAACTTTGTTGATTTTTCGCATACTACGCATTCTGGTTCTCAATTCTCTCCTATACAGGGTGTCCCACCAAGGTCGACCAGGTACGATATTATGGAAACCATAGACCTTACATAACTTGAAAACGAATGCAGATATTGAATTGCGGTTTGCGCCAAAATGTAGATATTTTTTTGCTCTTTGAGCACAGGAATTAAAAAATAATATCCTGCAATTTGGATTTTTCAAGAAAATTAGAAAAAACTGGATCTCGGTTAAACAGCGCCATCTAGAAGAAGCGGTGGGAGCCATCGCACCGAACGAAGTGGTGTTCGTAATAATCAGTTTGGATGAGGGGTATGGAGGATAAAGCAATTTTTAAAACTATTTTTTCACCAACTTTCCCCACCCATATTAGTGAAAATATGGAAAAAGCCCTATAACCAATCTGGCGCAAAAATGAATAAACTTTTGATTTCTGTTGTTAAAACAGTATTTTAATATAGCGATTTCATGAGAAAATTTGAATTTTTAGTTATAAATAAATAAATAAATAAATAAATAAGCCTTTATTTCCAACAGGAACAAGTCCCAATTACAGGAAAAATGAGTTTTCTGTACATATTACAAGCATGACGTCTTAATAATAATAATAAAAATAACAATCAATAATAATAATAACAAAAATAGAGAGAAAAATTAACTGTTCAGTAAAGCAACGATGATTATTGACAATCGGTCCTCATTAATATCGCACACACCTGAAATACCATTGAATACAGAGCACACAAAATATAGGGGGCATTGCATTAAGATGTTTGACCTAGCCCTACCCAAGTGAAACGTTGAGTCATACCTCCCCGCCAGACGTGGAACCCGAAACTGAATCCCAGCCAATAGCGAGGGACAGTCGATTACATTGTGTAGGAGGTTATACAAGAACTTAACACCCAGTACTTTTCTTCTAACTGAAAGCGATTCTATATTGAATCGTTGTAAATACTGGCAATGTTCAATGCCTCTGGGAGGATATGACCCATCTAATCTGAATGTTACATACTTTAAAAATTTTCTTTGAACATTTTCAATTGTGTTAACGTGGCACTCGTAAATAGGGTTCCAGATCACTGTACCATATTCAAGCTTGGACCTAACAAAAGTGAAATACAAGAGTTTAAAAGTAAATTCATTTGAGAAGTACTTACTATTTCTAATGATAAACCCAAGCGTTTTAACGGCAGCCGAGCTTACATATTCAATGTGAGGTACAAAAGTAAAGCGGCTGTCAAAAACTATACCCAAATCTCTAATTTCGTTAACCCTACTTAATGATTTTCCTTCAATAACATATTGATACAAAATTGGCTCCTTAACTCTACAGTAACTGACAATATTGCATTTTTCAATATTTAAGTATAGCATATTTTTATTACACCAAGTGTGTAAGTCATTAAGACAAACTTGCAAATTTATACAGTCCTCCTCACCATTGACAGAGGTAAAAAGCTTCAAGTCGTCAGCATTGCGAGCTTTGAACAGGGCAAAGCAGTAATTAGATCGTTAATAAATATATTGAAGAGAAATGGTCCCAAATTGGATCCTTGCGGAACACCTGAGGTGATGTTAAACACCGACGACCTGAAGCCCTCATACTGCACAAAAAGACTTCTGTCGAATAAGTAAGACCGAAACAGGCTGACAAGCCCATCCGACAATCCCAAGGCCTGAAGTTTGGAAAGTAAAATAAAATGATTAATGCGATCAAAAGCCTTTCGAAAGTCAGTATAGACTACGTCAACCTGTCCAAGCCCATCCAGACCTGCGCAAATTTCATTTGACAAGACAGCAAGATTGGTGACGCATGAGCGACCGTTTATAAAACCATGCTGCTCATTCGCAATCTGGTTCCTAACATATGGAAAAAGTTTACCATAAAGAATAATTTCAAAAACTTTAGAGAAATTACAAAGTAAAGAGATTGGCCTATAGTTGCTGACTTGGGAGATATCCCCTTTTTTATGAATGGGGATAACTTTTGCCACTTTCCATGCTGCAGGAAAATAACTAGTCTTAAGAATAAGGTTGTAAATATGCTGCAGAGGATCAGCGAGTGCACCAATACAATCTCTAACTAGAAAGCTAGGAATACCGTCGGCTCCCGATGTTAATTTGTTATTAAGCTTCTTGCCTGCATCAATAATATCTGTGGTATTAACAAAAGAAAAGTTGATGGAATCAGAACATGACGCAAACTCGTTATTATCATAGGGCGTAGAATCAATATAAACATCATGAAAAAAGGAACCAAAGCCTTCCACTATTTCTTGGGCATTTGAGTAATGTGTACCGTTATTAAAAACTAACCCAGGTATCCTAGTGACATTTTTTTTGGAATTAATAAAAGGCCAAAAAGTTTTTGGATCAGATTTGACAGATGATTCAATTTTTTTTATGTACTGCGAATACGCGTTGTTAATTTGATTTTTTACTAGTGGTCTAAGATAATCAAATCTCTCGTAGTTGTTTTGGCCGCGAAATCGGAGATATTTCTTGCGAGCTTTCTCTTTGAGGCGAATGTTGTCAATTATTTCTTTTGTATAATAGGTAGGATATCGGCGATTACGTTTGATTTTCTTTGGAACACAACGGTCAAAAATACTATTAAGGACAGCATATAAAGCCGAGCATGCATCATCAACACCAGCAGAATTATAGACGAGAGACCAATCTGCATGTAAAATTAAATCATACATTGAAAGAAAGTCTGATTTTCTGAAGTTATATTCATTAAACTGGGTTTTGTTTACTTGAAAATTACTAAAATGAGTTGTTGAGGCTTCAAAGTCGAAACAAAGCGATGGGTGATGTGCATCCTCGTTCACAAGTGGTACATTATTTCTCATTACATTGCAGTGCGTGTTGGAAAAGATGAGATCCAACATACGGTTATTACCATTTAAAACACTATTATACTGCGTAAGATTCAATATACCCATGAAGTTTTTAAGGATGTTGCTTTTAGAATCAGTTAAGTCATGGTGAACAAAAAGAGGCACATTAAAGTCTCCCAGCACAATAAGGTTCTTACTGTAAATTAAATTGTTTGAAAGAAACGAGTCAAAAAACAACTCGACATCATTTTTCAGTACAGAAGGAGGTATGTATATGGTAAACACAAAAACAACAGAAGCTTCAAATATTAATTTACAACAAATAAAATCGATCAATGGCACTATAGATTTTAGATTCGGCAGCGGAACCAGTTGAGATCTAATTTTATTGTCAACCGCCAAAAGCACACCACCGCCCTTCAAGGCGTCCACACACTCGAAATTACGGTCCACGCGATAAACATTGTAAAAGTCTGGGAAGATTTCAGAGTCATTAATTTCAGATCGTAGCCAGGTTTCCGTGACAGCAATCATATCGAAACCAGAGGCCGCCACAGAGGAGTAGAAATCCAAAGTTTTTGTATTTAAACCCCGCACATTCTGGTAGCAGCAGTGAATAGTGTTAAAGGGGACGTTTCTGCTGGACGAGCTTAGTTTTCCGACTGGTTTCCATTTCTCGTGACCGGAACGATAGTGGGTACTCCTTTTATATGCCTAATTGTGATATTGTTTTCACCTGAGCTTTTACGCTGAGCAAGCTGCTCTTAACAGATTTGTATAACTGCATCTGTTTTCTTGTTTTATCAGATGTAATTGTAAGGTGTCTTAGTTGCGCGTTGTTTTTTAATTTACTGCACTGCTTAAAGACTTCCACAGGACTTGTCGTGTTCGTGAAGCATACTTTCAAAGGACGCGGTCGAACTACAGCATTATTGGAATGTTGGTTTTGAATATTTCCTATACGTAATACCTGTTTAATACTTGACACATCAAAATCTGAGCATAAGGAGCAAAGAATACTGTTTACAGAATCAGTATCATGAACATCATTTGAGGTAGGCTCAGGTTGTCCAAAAATGATTATGTTGTTTTTGCGTTCTTCACGATCACGATACTCCTGAAAAACTTCCTCACTTGCTTCCATAGGGGGATTACGATTTAGATCCCTCAATGCAGTCTCAGCAGTGGTAAGTCTAGAACTTAGGTTATCCATCTCTGAGCGGAGAAGGTTGTTCACTTCCAATTGCTTATTATACATATCAAGTAGGTCCTTGTTAGCCAATTCCATGCAGTTGAGGTTATGCATAATGTCCTCCAGAGTCATAGAAGCAGAGGATACAGGAGGGATACCTGATTTATTCTGCACCCCACCTATCGATTTACGAGCCGTCTGGGATTTCTGTACGGTTTCTCTTAGGCAAGATAGACAACTCCAGCGATCACCATCAGGTTTTTTAAGTTCGCTCTCATAAAATTTTAATTGAGGAACCGATAGATCGACGCATTTATTGTGATTCCATTTATCACATAAAAAGCAAAGAATTGAGTAATGTCTTCTGGTGATAGCCTGATTACATGCCGCACAAATACCACCGTCGCCCTGAGACATAATTAACTAGAGAAGAAGAGCGTGGATGTAAGGCTTTCTTCAATAATTCCGAACTATCTGGACTATAAAAATATTAATTTGCTCACAAAAGAAAAAAAAAGCTGATATGTTTGAGATATAAAATGCAAATTATAATAATATGCAAATTAGGTTCACTGACAATAAACCCAACTTATTGGTACTTTTTTTATAAAGTTTATTCACCTTGAACAGACATCGAGGATTGAAAATACGAAATTTTCCCACAGAGAACAGAGGTTTCTCTAAAAATCTTCTTATCGCTCAACAGTAGACAGTCTTCTCTTCCTCTCGATACCAGACTCAAAAAATTTAACACACGATAACACTGCAAAAACACTAATAAATTCAAGAGCTGATGTACACACGACGTAAGCAAAATTCAGTTCTTCAGTTTCATCATCGTAATTGCACCCCCTAGCGGTCATCTTAGGAACTTGTAAATAATTTCCATCAATTTCTCTTGGCCGATTTAGTGAAGAAAAAAAAAATCCCGAAGCCGTAAGGTCTATGGTTTCCATAATATCGTACCTGGCCGACCTTAGTGGGACACCCTGTACATCCAACTAGCCGGTGATGCTTTTGACGAGCAATGCAAAAAATTATCCTGGATATTAGAGTTGATATTGATCCGTGTCTGCTCTCAGGTTCCTTCAAGGCCGTGATGAGTTTGGTCTTGAAATATTCGAAGGCATTCTCAGCAGCTCCATTGCTTTGCTGATGACCCGCAGGTGATTTCAAATGTTTGACTCCGTTCAGTTTACAAAATTGTTGCATCTTTGATGATACCAAATTAGGTACATTGTCGCTCACCATTGTGGTTGGTATGCCAAATCTGGCAAATGATTCTCTTAGTTTCTCAATGATGTCTTCAGTGGTCACTTTCGTCACTTGATACACCTCTATCCAATTCGTCTAGGCGTCTACCATTACTAGAAAATTTAATTGCACTATTGGACCACAGAGATCTTCTATTGGCCATGGCGCAACCGGCTTTTCGGTGGTGCCTGTGGCACACAGCTTTTTGTAATCTCCTCTATTTCCTTATCCAATGTTTCCGAGTATACCAAGGATCTGGCTGTAGCTTTCATGCAACATTTCCATAACCTTCTTACGTAGTTTCTTTGCAATCACAATTCTCAGGGCCTACATAGGAATGTCATTCTCTATAAATAGTTCATCACGTCTATGATAATATGCCTTCAATTCATTTACTACTTATTGTTTATGTTTGTGTGTCAGCTGATTGCCTTAAATGAATGACACAAGCGACACAAAGCAATTTGCGCTTGCGCTCTCAAAAAGGCTTGAGAAGGATTAGCACTAATCTTAATCCATTTAATATTTGTGAAATAAAAGAATATCGATTAATAATCCTCAATACACGTAGTATTCGGATATAATGCGTGGAATAAACGTAGTCATTATCAGCTCAATATCCTACAGTAAATTGGGATTGTTAACAAAAGTTTTTTTTTTTTTATCTAAGACAGTAAAATCTACCCTAAAAAGATCACAGTCACAGTAAGTAAATAAATGCAAGAATTATAAATTTTACAATTAATTAGTTCTTAATAGATACATCTTATGAATTGAGATTCCTCTTGGACCAAACTCTACAATTTATCAAGTTAGGTTTTATAAGTCGCCGCTGAATTGAAACATGACAACCGCAAGAAAAGAGGTCTAATGGCAAGAAATCACCAAGAACTGATTTGGGACCATTCTTGGTTAGTAGAGGCTAAAAAAAATGACCTAAAAAGGGTTCAAGCGCAAGAAATCACTAATAGCTAATTGGTATGTACCCCAACAAGTTACGACCTGATTTATAGGTATCAGATAAAAGTATACAAAGATAAAACAAATATTTAATAAAAACCAATTTTAAATACAATAGAAAGATAAAACAGAAAAATCACAAAATTAATATTCCTAAATATAATACTGAAATAAAAAAAACTAAAGTTAGTTTCTATAACATAACATAATTATTATCTACAAATACCTTGAAGTTGGGATTTCTGCTGACCTCTGCTTTTCAATTAATCAAGTCCGATTAAAATACAACTTTTCAACGCGAAAAAAAGCAAAAAGGCAATTTATAAGAACTACACAAAAAATATTTTTCATGTGAATTTCCTCGAAATTCGGTTTCCAGAATTTTTATTAAAATAGGATCCCTAACTATGATTTCTGCTGGACCAGCTGTACAATTTATTGGATCAATTTTTTTACATTTTACTTGAGTTCATACTCTTTATCAACGTGAAGAAATTGCAGCAACTTAGAAAAACTGGCTTAAAACAGATCCAAGCGAATGAAATCACTTATTTACAACAAACAATAATAATATACAAGAAAAAAGAAATCATAAAAAACAAAATTGAATCTAGGAAATGTATTATTGGAATTTGGGTTTTTAATTTCTTTTTTCTAGCATTCCAGACTTACAAAAAAAAGCTCATAATCCAGTCACTCAAATAATGTTCAAAATAATAATAATTTTAAAATAGAAAATAATAATATGTACATTAAAATTGAGACTTCTGAGATGAGATCAAAAGAAAAACAAACACGAACTTATAGAAACTGACTTGAAAAAGATCTACTGCGAGAAGTCTTTAAAAACTAATACACCTCAAGCTCAAGTCGTCATCCCAATCAATCCCCTACTTTTTGAACGGAGATCGAATTTAAAACTAAGTATGTATTACAAATAAAATGTGATCAGATTCAAAAAAATATGTATATTTTTTTTATGTGAATTAAGTATATTTAAATTAAGTTTTCAAAAAATCGATCCCCATCCAAAATTTCGGGGATATCAAGAACTAAAATTAATTTCTGAATTAGATAATAGTAAAACCTTAAAATAACTAAGATTTCTTGTGGACCAGCTTTACATTGTATTAAGTGTGTTTTGATAGATTCCGGTTTGAAGCGTAACCTTTAAAAACTCACTTAAAAAGGTCACCCGCAAGAAATCTCTACATTATAATTGTGCACACTTTGCGATGATATTAAATTAGGTAACAGTACTTTGATAAGCACTAAGTAATAATATCAGCTAAAATCTGCTAGGTATACATAGATAATAGGTACTAATGATTAATAACACTCTATTTAAGATTTTTGCTGGACCAACTGTACAATTAATAAATCAGTTTTCATAGGTTTCGGTTAAATTAAATTCCCAGTGCCAGTAAAAAACCGCTTCAAAAATGGCCACCCGCAAAATTCTCCGCAAACTATTTCACCAAAACCTCTTAAGTTACCTTTTGAATAGAGACCGAATCAAATAGGCGTGAAATTAAGCTTCAACAAGTAGTAGTAATAATTAAAAATATCGGAGACCTCGACAAATGCTGGAACAATGATTTCCTGGAATACCAAAGGCTGAATTGGCTATAGTTTCAAAAGTGTTATTCAAAAGCCGGTCTCTATAAACATAGGTAAATCTTATGAATTAAAATATTTCCTAAATTAATATTAACTTAATTAGGATTTCTGCTGGACCACTGTACAATAATTATTAAGTTCGTTTTCATAGGTTCCGGTTAAATTAACGGCCATTGGCAAAAAAAGTCGTAGCTTATGAAAACTCACTTAAAAAGGTCACCCGCGAGAAATCTTGCAATGATTTTTCAGGACCTTTCATCATTTTTCACACTTTTTAAATAAAAAAAAAGACTGTATTTAGTATCAAACAATTTCGGTTGAAAATATTTGATTATCTACACGAGAAAACGATATATATGAACAAAATTGAATTATTTTTGGGCTTATATTTCTATCTTAAAATTCGACCTCCATTTATTAAAATAGATATGCCACTTGATTTTATATCCAGTTAAAATTGATGAAATATCCGAAAATTATTAGATATTTACTGGGCCTGCTATACAATTCAGTTTCAATTTAAAGTATCCTTTCACCTATTGAAGCTTTTCCAAAGGCCACTTCCAAAAATCTCTTATGGAAGGAGACGATACTCTGATGAAGTGTGAGTAATTTTTTGTTTCACTCATAGAGAAGAGATTTTCAAATTTCAAAAATTGGAGAGTTAGAAATGGAAAATTTACGAAGGGTGAACCGCAAGGGTAATCTGGTGTACAAATTAAGAGGAAATCTAAGGCAATCAGAGGCAATTATCATCATTTTGCCTTCAACAATATGCACAACAACAAACGAAAAACAATTCTGGAAAACACACTTTCACTCTTTAATAACAGGTTTAATAAATAACAATCTAACAATTCAAGTGACTAACTGAAATCCTAATATATGTGACGTTTACGTTGACGTTTAGTTATCGGGTGTACTGGTGTATACCACCAGTCCCTGGTCTCGAACGGGTTGCTACATTCCGTCCTGTTTTTTCAGCCTCAGAGGTTCAAGTCGGCCTGTGACGTGAGTCCCTCCAAGATCTTGGCTCCATTTTGGTCTCCAGGCCCTGGTGAATTGTCTTCTTGCTTCTTTTCTTCCGGTGTTTGGGGTACTGATAAATTGTCTGATATTTTGTTGTGAGAAACATGTGTTTTAATTATTTTTCCATTTTCAAGTATTTTCGCCTCATTTTCATTTATTTCCATTATTCCATATTCCCTATTTTCATACTAAGTTGCGAGTTTGTGGGGAAATATTGTTTGCTGCACGAGGTCTTTATCTCCAGGTTTTAGTATGGTGTCTCTTCTTGGCTTCTTTTTGTCCTCTCTTTCCTTTCTTTTTTGCTTTTTGATTACATCATTGTCATCTGCTTCTTTATCAATTGTATTTTCCTTAAAAATGTCAAAGGATATTCATAGAAAAGATTTCGAATAGCTGTATATTTTTCTTTATTGCAATTATTTAAACGTAAATTTTTTGAATTTTGTTTCAATTTATTGTCATTCAAATTATCGATTTCAACATAAGTTTCCATTTTTTCAATGAAATTGATTATTGATTCTATTTCGAGAGGTTCTTCAAATTTGATTTTAACT